TTTGTGCATAAAATTATGAAAAATAGTGGAGAAATCATTTCTAGGCTACGTGAACAGAAGCTCCGTCTCCAAGACAGCTGGTTATGCAGATGCAACGATTCCCAAATCTAGATCGCCGGCCCCAAGCATTGCGGAAGAGGTGTCCTCAACCTGGGCCCCAGTGTTTCTTCTAGTTCTTGCTTTTGTTGATGTGGTCCACTCAGACCACGGGGACTGTGACTCCTACCCAGCGACCTTCATTGTTGGCTTTTTCCAGTGCGGGCCATGTGCGTGATGGGTAAGCCCTTCTGGGGTCCTCTGAGCCCCTTGTCATACTTCACCTTGCTCCCTGCCACGGCTGGCAGCCACCAAGTCAGGACAGTGAGGCCTGGTCCTCTTTTGTTGACCATTATCTTTCTGAGAGGTCAGTATCTGAAATATCAGTGGCTTTGGCAGTTGGCTGTGATTCCCTGGTACTTTCATTCGTGTGTGATCATTTTCAACTTTAGAAATTGTGCTCCTTACTAGATAGAATCTTTAGGTTATCTGTTCATTCAACAGCATGTAATGAGTGCACTAGGCGCAGAATAGGCCTGAAGACCCACTACGTTCTGAGAACCAGGGATATAAGAGCAGCCAAGAAAGACAGTGCTCTGGGCACAGAGAAGGCTCCTCATCCAACTTCAGATGGGGCAGCCTCTCGTTCTCTTCTCAGAGCCTGGCCTCTGCCTTCTCGTACTCAGTTGCTGTGTCTTGAAGGAGCAGGGAGTTGCAGGTCTGGGTTCATCACCTTGTGCGTTGGTGCTCTCTGACAACCTGCTCACTCTGTCCCGCCTGTCACTTGGGATCCCAGGGCTCCTGGCTGTAGAAGGAGCTTCAGGGTGGTGGAAATCTGTGTGAGGTCACTGTGCTGGTCAGTGCCGAGGCTGTGACTCGGGTCTCTCCACAGATCAGTGTCTCGAGTCGAGTCGGAGACGGACCCTTGCACATGTACAGCGCCCTGGCCCTGGCCTTGATCATTTCACAATCAGGTGGCAGAAGCGGGGAGATGGCTCAGGGGCCAGGCGAGGGGACCACAGACACCAGGAGCAATAGCATTTACCCCACAGGAGGGAGTGGCGGGCTTCGCACTCAGGATCCTGCATCAGCTGCAGTTTCAAAGCAGAGCCAAGACATGAAGAGAACGCCCCAGGGGGACTGCATTTTTTAGTGGGGGAAAAAGGCTTAATTGTATCTTTAAGAGGTACAGACACGCCGAGGAATACCAGCCCCGTCTGAGACCTGGAGCAGAAATGCCACCGGACAAGGATTTGGAAGATTAACACAGTTGAACTCAGCACCATGGCCTCTTTTTTCCCCTGAGCCCTTGCAAAAGTGGGAAGGTAAAACACCCCAGCAGGCAGGCTGGGCCAGCCGGGAGTGCTGGAAATGTACCTCTCTCTTTGTCCTGCGTTTTGCTGCTAGAGAGGCTGATCCAGCTAAAACCGCTCTCACCCAGGGCTCCCTCTTTGCTGCAGGACAAAGTTTTATCTTCTTCCCATCCAGTAATCACTGCCAAACTCCTGCCATGTGTCTGCCCGGGCACTGGGCTAGGAGCAAGGAGACAGTCACAGATGTGATGCTGACCCTACCCCAAATAGGGGCCCAGTCGCGGGAGACCTTGCAAGGGGCAGGTACAGCATCACAGCTTAGAGACCAGGGATTGTGTGACAAAGAGAAGGTTTGGGAAGGCTTCATCCTCAGTGTCCAGCTGGCCCCAGTGCCTGGCACCTGACAGATGCCAAAAAGTACCCATAGGATCAGGTGGGTAGATGGGACTGGACCCTGGCTTGGGCTTTGTAATGTCTGCGAAGCCACATATGGGTGCGTGTCCTAGCTTCCTCTCCTCCCTTGCTTTCCTGCAGTGGAAAATTAGCAAAACATGTGAATTAACCCAGCCCCTTAGGTCCATGAGTCATGTGAGGTGAGGTCCCTGAGCAGCCTTTTCCACCCCTCCAGTCTCACCTGCCTTTCTCGCTCCAAGGTTGACAGTGCCCCCAGAACTGGCCTGAACTCACACCTTTCGGCTTTTCACATGTCCTTCCTGCTTTCTTGGATCCTACTTATTCTTCCAAACCCAACTTTAGTATCATTTCCTCTGAAGAATCTCCTTAAAGCCCCCTGTGCAGAGTAGTCTGTATTGGATGGATGGATGGGAAGATGGATAGATGTATGTATGTATGTATAGATGGATGGATGGATGGGTAGGTGGATGGATGGATGGGTGGGTGGATGGATGGATAGGTGGATGGATGGGTGGATGGATAGGTGGATGGATAGGTGGATGGATGGGTGGATGGATGGATAGGTGGATGGGTGGATGGATGGGTGGATGGATGGATGGGTGGATGGATGGATGGATGGATGGGAAGATGGATAGATGTATGTATGTATAGATGGATGGATGGATGGATACGTGGATCAATGGATGGGTGGGTGGATGTATGGATGGATAGGTGAATGGATGGATGGATGGATGGATGGATGGGCAGGTGGATGGATGGGTGGATGGATTAATTAATCAGTTGATTGGTGGGTGGATGGATGGACGAGTGGATGGATGAAAGGAAAGATGATAGTAGGTATGAAGCTGTGAAGAAGTAGCCCAACGACTTGATCCTATAGACATTTACCTGGCATCTGTCGCGTGCCAGGCACCAGGCACCAGCTGGACTGTTTCTGTCCTCTTTCATGAGGCAGCCTGGCTCCTGGCCTGGGCTCACTCAGGATGGGGGCGAGGTGGGAAAGTCCTGCCTGAACTGTCATGGGGAATGAAGGAGGCACATCCCTCTGAGACAGCACTCTGGAGAAATGTGGCCAGTCTGGAGATGTAGCAGCACGGTCCGCAGAATGAGCCTGTCAGGGAAACAAACCCTGGTGGAGCGCGCTGTGAAGAGAGTGAGAGGTGAACCTGAGCTTCCAGCCAAAGAGAGCTGGGGAGATGGTTCTGGGAGGACTGGAAGGGTCACACTCCTCACATACCTACTGTGGGCGTCTGGGAGGGTTCTTGCTGAACATGTGCAGTGTCCCTGTCTGTTCCAAATGAAGGGTCATCTTGCTAAACACAGAGATCCTGAGAAAATCCAAAGCTGGGCATGGGGGCACATGCCTAGAATCCCAGCACTGTGGCAGCTGAAGCCGGAGAATTATAAATTTAAGCCCAGCCTGAGAAAATTAGAAATTTAACAAGTTCTTGTCTTAAAAAATTTAAAAAGGGCAGGAGAGGGGCTGGGGATTTAGCTCAGTGGTACATGCCTGCCTTGTAAGCACAAAGTCCTGAGTTTGATCCCTGGTACCAAAGGGGGAGGCAGGGATATACTAAGAAGGACTTGTGTTCAACCTCTACCTCAAAAGAGAGAGAAAGAGGGAGGGAGGGGGGGGAGAGAGAGAGAGAGAGAGAGACAGACAGACTCTGTCTCTGAATGTGGCCCGCACGGTTAATTCAGCCTGACTCCCCGCTGCCTCTGTGCACTGTAATAGTGTCGTTGGCTTCCTTTCCTCCACTTTCTCCCACTGTGTGGCGGTTTACAGTGTGATCCATCACCCAGCGGCCCGAGTTCTGGTCTTCAGCCATTACAGACCCTAAAACTTGTGAAGGGCCCACAGTGATGTATTTAGGTGTGAACATGTCCAGCACATTGAGGGTTTCCTTTCAAATAAGGTTTAAAATCTAACCCTGGAGAAATGCATGCCCCTTGCTATCTGTTTCAGGGGTGCACAAGTGCAGCCATATTGAACTGGGCTCCACATCACACTGAGATGCTAGAATGGTTTGGGATGGCAGTAGCCATTTTTGAATGACCTTGTTTGCTTCGCTTCTTATTTTAGAGGTTGGTTTTTTTCCCCCTCAATACTGGAGATAGAACGTGGGCCTCATGCATGCTAAGCAAGTATGGTATCACTGAGCTACATCCCTCAGAACCTTCTTTTAATTTTTGTTCGGAGACCAATCGTATTATGTAGACCAGGCCTCGAATTTGTAATCCTCCTGCCTCAGCCTCCTCTGCAGCTGGAATTTCAGGTGCATGCCACCATGCCTGGCTTAAAGTTGCTATTTTTTTTTTTAAATAATCCTTATTCACAGAAGAGGAAATTGAGACTCAGAGAGGTTAAGAAACTTGTATAACCAAGGTGGGTAGACTCAAACCTTGCATTCAAAAGTCCTAAGGATTCCCGTGACATGCACAGAGCTACGGAGGGCCACACATGTGTGTGGGTTCAGCGTGGGGCCCCCCTGCAGATCCTGCATGGCTCTCTGGAGCCTGAGCCCAGGCTTTTGTTATACACCAGCTGTGAGACCGGGGCTTTGTCACTTGTGTCTGTGACACTGTGGGTGGACCCTGTGCCTACTGAGGGTGAATTGGGCAGGGAGGTCAGCCATGCAAACTTGGGGCTGATGCTATGTCAGACACTGTGCTGGGCACCTGGACTATGTATTGTAGAGGACCCAGGGAGTATTCTGCAGGGAATCAGGACCACCCCCATTTGGAAAAGGAATCCAGGACCCCCTGCCATCCTCAGCTACCTTGGGGAAAGATCACGGCTTCCTTGCCCCACCACCAGGGAGTGGGTACGAGGCAGTGCAGGATCCTATTGGGCACCCACTCCATGCCAGGCCTTTGTGAGGCTTTTCTAAGCCCAGCCTGGTAGCAGGTAGCAGGGCAGAAACGTGGGCTCTGATAGGTCTGGAACTGGCATGGCCCTGGGAGCCCACTCACTGCTTTCTTCATTGTGCAGACTGTATGTGACGGACAGGAAGCAGTAAGGATCCTGTCAGTGGCCCTTGGAGGTGTGTGCAGAACGCTGAGAGACCTCTCTGAGGGGGATGTTATGCTGGGGTCTCCAACAACTGGCCCTGGCTATGCCCCGTGAGATTTAAGTGCCCTCTCAGCCCTGAGGTTCCTTGGGGAAAATCAGTCCCTGGATGTCTGCATGGCTCTGGTCCCTGCTAACCCCCAGCACACCTTCTGCTCTCTCCCCAGGTGTCGTGCGCCAAGTGCGGCCCATCGTGGGCCCGTTCCACGCTGTCCTGAAGCTGGAGATGAACTATGTGGTCGGGGGTGTGGTCTCCCACCGAAACGTCGTCAACGTCCACATCTTTGTCTCGGAGTACTGGTTCTGAGGGCAGGGCCACAGCACAGCCAAGGGCACCCAGGCCAAGCCCTGCTGCCGAGGACGGCTCCGCACCTGGCTGTACCACTCAGGCAGTTCTTAACGTCACATATTGGTTTGTAGTGTTAGGCTCAGGTGTATTGCACTGAGCTAGGTGGATCCATCCATCCATGTATCTGATGTTTAAATAATGTGTCCAGTTACTCAGCAGTTTGGCTGAAAACCTTGCTGATTTTTTTGAATGCAAAGGCTAACGTTTGCTCACTTCGCTGCCTGTGGGCTAGGCCTTGCCCACAGGACCAAGTAAAGAAAGACAGCCAGATGTCCAAATGCCAAGAGAAGGCCAGTTCTTTGCCCTAACTATATGAAAGTTGTCATTTTAATACTTATTTTTGCCAGGCTGATATGCATGTTTCCAGTTCAGGGCTGCTGAACAGTAGCATATATACGTACACCCCATTCTCCGCGGAGGCAGCATGGCGGTGATGCCCTCGGCTCTTGGGTGGCAAACTGCAGTTCTGTTGACAGGCAGGAAAATCTCGGGAAAGACAGGCTCTGGGTTAGGTGTGGCCCCAGTGTGCACACCAGGGGCCTGGCTGGGTTCCTCTGTACCCTGCACCCACCTTTTCTACAGATGAAAAATAAACAGCTTTGTGATCTCTGAATGGCCTGTGCGTGAGAATCTTTCAAGAACGAGCTCCCAGCTGGGTATGGTGGTCTGAACCTGTAATCCCAGTACTGGAGTGGCTGAGGCAGGAGGATTGCAACAAGTCTGAGGCCATCTTGGGCTAAACAGTAAGTTCAAAGCCAACCTGAACTATGGAGTGTGACCCCGTCTAAAAAAAAAAAAAAAAAAAAAGTCTCAGTTACCTTTACTTGTTGTTGAAACAAAATACCTCATACCCACAAGTTAAAGGAGCAAAGGCTCCTATCAGCTCACAGTTTGTAGAGGTTTCAGTTCATAGTCAGCTGTCTCCAAGGCAGAGGGGCATGGCAGAGGGGCATCACAGAGGAGAAACAGTCCATGGTGCGGCAGGCAGAAGGCAGCAAGCAGCAGCAGCAGCCATCACTGCCTTCCGTTTTCCCCTTTTATTCCATTTAGGTCACCAGCCTTTTGGGTGGTGCCACCCACACCAAGGGTAGGGCTTCCATTATCCACACCTTTAATTCCAGTATTGCCCTAGATCCACCCAGCTCTGCAAAGCCCCACCTATGAGCCCAGGAGGCTTTGGGGGACATCTAGATACGAGCCATAAGATAAAAGAAAAGGAAAAGAATGGGCTTCGTCTAGTTCAGTCCTCCAATAGCAAAGAGACTAGGGATCTTCCTCAAAAGCCATTTCAAAGTCCTTTCTGCCTAGCTTGTATATTGGAAAAACTTCTTCTCACCTCATTTCCAACATCGTGCTGCTTTGTTTTGTTTTCTGTTGCTGTAATAAAATACCCAAGACAGGGTAATTTATAAAGAATTAAAGTTATTTGGCTCATGTTTCTGAAGGCTGGGAGGTCCAGGGCACAGTCCCCACCTCTGCTCAGCATCTGGTGAGGGCCTTGTGCTGCATCACAGTGTGGCAGGGGACATCACATGGCAAGAAAGAGCAAGTGCGCCAGCTCCTGTGTCCCTTCCTCTTCCTATAAAGCTACTAATGGCATCGTGGAAACCCTGTCCTCATGCCTTGGTGGACCCTGGCCACCTGCCAAAGGCCCCACCTCCAAATCCCATTAGTATATGAGTCTGGGGATTCAGTTTCCAAGAGTGAACTTCTGGGGGACATGAATTCCTGCACACTCCCACCCTCAAGAAGTGTGGCTGAGTTTGCTGCGCACCCCACACCTGGCCCTGCTAGGCAGCTCGCAGGGCTCTGGCATCTCCGTGACTTCCGGTAGTGTCCCTCGGGCCCTCTGACCCTCTCCAGAAAGCACTGTGGGGACAGGAGCTCTTCAGTAAGAAGTGAGAGGTGCTATGCTCATGCCAGCTACTTGGCCAAAGTGCCCAGTGATATGGACACTACCACACTCTCTCCTGGGCCTCAGTGCCGCTCAGCAGCCTGGAGGCTTGGCTCAGATTGTGGCCCACACCTGGACTTCACTGTCACTGCAGTTTTGCTGTGGCTGATGTCGAGTAACACTCGGTCCCACTCTCAAGAGCGGTCTTGGCCACCTTTGGGAGCCCCAGAGTTTCTGAGGTGGCTCATTTAGGGCAGTGGTTGGTCTAAGCCAAGCCTGAGCCAGCCAGACACAGGTCTTCTGAGACCTTGGCAGCACGAGTGGTGGGAAGGGATAAACCTTGTGTGGGGCTGGAAAGGACAGGAAGCCACATTCAGCATCTAAACTGCTCTTCCTGCCTAGGAACTGGTGTGTTGGCAGAGAGGCAGGAATAAAACTCCCAAAGGCAAGGGGCCAGAAATGGGAAGCATGTGTGGCCCAGAAGCCTAGCAGCAGCCTTCATAGGGGCAAATCCAGCAGCCTGGTGGATCTGGGCCAGATTCCTCAATCACTTAGGCAATTGCTGGAGCTTTCTCTTTCCTGAGAGTTAAGTGACTGGGCAGGGAGAATTCCTGGCTGATTCTGGGAAAGGACACTTATATTCTCTCAGTAGGAGTTGAGTGGAAGCTGCCATTGGTGGGCAGAGTCAAGCCTCTTGATATTGATTGGCTCTTAGATGAGCATGTGACACAAAGTGGCCAATCAGGGCCTTTCCTGAGGGGATCCTTCAGTCCCAGGGCAGTGAGGGCTGGACACTGCTAGGTTGGAGACCAGAGAGCAAGAGAGGGACCGAAGCCTGACCCTACAGTGCCAGTATCTGAGCCTTAGTTTCTGCATCTCAAAGTGGAGATGGTAAGCCTGCAACAGTAGTGAGAGGCCCTGCAGATCATGAGGACAGAAGTGCTTGCAAACCTCAACGTGCAGCACATGTATGAGAGCTCTCATCATTAACCATAAAAGTAATGGCAATGATTAGTGCCACTGCTGATCAAGCCGCATGATTGCGCTCCAGAAGGCTGGTGTCTTTCCAATCCTACATTTCCATTTCCTCATCATCCATGAGAGACTCACCAGACAGGTGTGTAATTATACAAAATGCTAATTTTTCACATTTCCTATCACTCCGTGTTGGCCACCTGACAGACTGAGAAGTGTCCACTTCTCTTTCAAAGGAGCTACTGTTAGGGTCCAGCTAACAACAGCTGGAGGTGCCTATGGGCCTGTAACAACAGTGACTCCCACCCCTTTTTTGAGACAAGATCAACTTATATAGTTCAGGCAGGCCTTGAACTCACTATGGGGCCCAGGCCGGCTTTGAACTCCCCGTATTCCTCCTGCCTCAGCTTCCTGAGTGTTGGGATTATAGCCATGCCTGTGGGGGGCCTTTGCACTGTGCTACATCTGCAGCCCTTTTTTCTTTTATTTTCTTTCTTTCTTTTTTCTTTTTTTTGGTATCAGGGATCAAACTCAGGTCCTTGAAAGTTGCAAGGCAGATGGCAGAACCACTGAGCTAAATCCCTGGCCCCCTTTACTCTTCTTTAATTTTTTAATTTCTAGTTGTAGATTAGCAATAATGGTTCAATCTGGGGTCTCTGCGTTAGGCCATTCTGTGTTCATATGAATGGATTTTCCTTTAGCAATTCCGCTCAGTTATTTTGTTCGAAAGCCCCAGTTAGGAAGGGCACCTAACTGTAATCCCAACACTCTGAGAGATTGAGTCAGGGAGATCGCAATTTCAAACTGAACTGGCAATTTAGTGATACCCTAGCTCAAAGTGAGAATAATCACAGGGACCTCACAGGAGTGGTTGTAAGGATGAACTAGAATGATGACATAAGACACTTAGCAGAATGTCTCCAGTAGGCGTACAGTAGGTACTCAGGAAACGGTGATGTCATCGCGGATGCTCTAGAGAGGACAGTCTTCAGTGAGACAGCGTCTTCTCCTAGCGTCTCGTGTGGACACACAGTGAAACTTAGAGGTGTTTGCCACTGTTATAAATGTCCCTTCATGCATCTGTCCCCTGCCAAGCAGAGAGCACTCTGGGACAGGGATTGCTTTCTACTACCACTACCTCCAGGGAATGCCTGGCACAGAACGGGCACCCGGGAAACATTTGTTGGGTGGAAAGCATGAAAGCACAGCAGAGGGACAGGAAAGGACCCACTGCTCGTACACAGCTCTGTCAAGCCATGTGGGAGCTGGGATTTCACTTTGACTCTGTGATGTGGCCAGTGGGGACTAAAGAAGGACAGTTCTGAGGAGGCTTCAGGTAGTCTGGGCTCGGGCCTTGTCCTTGGAAATTCTTTCTGACCTCTCCTCATCCCTTCGCCTCTCTCATACTATAACTTCTATCATCTTCCAGGAAAGAGGCCATTGAAAGGGCCCAGGACCCTGCTGTGTAAGTCCCAACATCCCCATTGCAATGGCCCAGTGCACCAGGCCTGATCATTGACTCCCTTGACCCTGGGCTGTGTCCTCTTCACAGTCCTGCTCTTGAAGGCCAGCGTAGGCTAAGGCAGGAGCCAAGGCAGCTCCTCCCGACACCTTCTCCATGGACCCAAACCAAAGACCAGCACGGTCCCAGAGAGCCGCACTCCAAATTCCATGCTGCCTGCTCTTGCTGATGCCCTCAGCTTCGAGGGATAGCAGGACTGGCCAAGGATGCTTGTGTGCCAGATGCCTGGGGTAGGGGCAGGCAAGGCTTTGGAAATGATAGGGACTTGCTTGAGCTGGGCTCTCCCAGGGCCAAGCTATTGCCCCAAGTGTGGCAGCCACTTGGGGCATTAGAGGTAAGAAAGGAAGCTTTTCTACTCTGCAGGGTGAAAACACTCTTATCCTTGGCCCATCTTGACAATTTGGTCATTGCTCTTCACAACCCAACCTAGATAATTAATTGTGTGCAGGTAATTCACTTGGGAGGTGGGTATGGGATGCGGGGAACCCGACTTCCACTGCCCTGGAGAGGTGCCAGGCTGCCACTGCACCTGACCTGAGATGGACCAGCCACCCTGTAGTGTGCCCAGGGCCCGCCCCCCGATTTCAGAAGCAGCTCATCGCAGAGGCCTAGTGACCTTTCAGTAGCCCATTCGCTCTGCTGGGTCAGACCCAAGCTGCTCTGGGCACCGAAGTTGTGCCGTAGGGTTGGAGTGACAGTGTCCCCCAGCTCGTGGCTGGAAGGAGTCTTCCCTTGCGCTTTGGCTGTCCCCTCTTTTGATTTCCTTGGATGGTTCTGGAAAGCCCTTGTCCACTCTTGCTGCCCTGTATCCTCCCCATGGCCCCAAAGCCACACATTGGCTCGGGGGTCCCAGGTACTAGTGGCCCAGCTGTCTTCTCCTTGGGGGCTCCCAGCCTTCACAAAGCCAGGCCATTGTTCAGAGGACCTTGGGAGCCCTAGGCAGAGTGCTGGGGTCAAGAAAGTGGTCCCCCCAAATACAGATTTGGTTTTTTAAAAATTCCCCATTCCCTCTCCTATATTCTCAAGGTATATTGCCTCGGGGGTCAGGTGCAGCTTGGGGGTCACAGCCCTGGATGCTGCAGGCTTGGATGCAGACAGGGTTGGCCCGAGGGCACAAGGTCTGGGGACAGACAGTGCATCCTGCCAGGACTGGGAGACTCCTTCTTCCTCTGTCTCCCTCCTTCTTTCTCTCTTCCTCTGCAGATCAGCCCAG